GTGTGGGTGGCCGTGAGGGGGGGGGGGGGGCCTTGGCGGCGCGCGCTCAGCCCGCAGAGGGCCGTGGCGAGAGGAGGGGTTGGGGTTGGGGGTGGGGAGGGGGAAGGGCAGACGCTCGGCCCCACTTAGCCGCCGCCACTTGTCGCTGATTTAGACGGCGCGACCGACACAGGGAGGGGAAGGAGGGGGAAGGGGAGGTGGGAAGGGGGGAGGCGATGGACAGAGTGCCGGTTGGTGCGAAGACGGTGGCGAGACGCAATTGGTGAGAGAGGCGAGGAAAACAAGGAGCATATCTGTGCAAGTGGCGATGACACGACTTTATTAGTGCGACCGGAGACATGCTGGCTCAGGCATCACTGATGTCACTGCAGTGCCTCTGACCGGAGGTCCTAGGGTTACCACTCCCCACGGAGGCAGCATTTTCCACACTACCTACAACACTAAGGTACGAGCGCAGCAACTGGGAGAGGTGGCTCAAGGGCACAAGCTGATGTCACTGCAGTGCCTCTGACCGGGAGGTCCTGGGGTTACACTCCCCACGGTGAAAGGATAGCTAGGAGCCTAGCTTGTCGACTAGTAGGTCGCATTCAGTGGCTGTCTGGAGCAGAATTTTAGCGGTCGGCTGCTCGAATCGGTAGTTTTCTCCGATCAATACCAGGCGATGGCCAGAGCAGTACCCTCACAAACGGTACACAAACTTGTCCTATCTTCTCCCCTTACACACACTTTCACAAGGGTACACTACACTACCACATATAACACCGATCAGGAGCTTAGTGCTTGTCCTGGCTAGGGCAGTGCCTTGCTGGTGGGAGATACCTGGTTAGGGAAAACCCCGCAAGCCGTCGGCAGGTCGGCGACGGGTCTCGCCGTTAAGCGGGGGAAGATCACTTCCACCGCCAGAGGCAAACATGCACTAAACTTATGAGACTAATGACCGCTGTACTTGACACACCTGGAATCACTAACAATCATTTCAGTGCATATTAGTACAGTGTGAATTGCAGATTCGGTGGTATAACGTATCGTAACGGGCTGTTATATACAAGTTTGCGGGTTCAAACCCGATCGAAGCTATAAATGTTTTAAGGTTTCAAAAATCCTTCATACGCCATCCTTTCGGAAAGGAAGTAAAGGCGGCTGTCCCATCTTGTAGATTTCCTGCATGCTCAAGCCTAAAATATGCCTCTGAAATAAATTCCAAATCGCCCTTTTCGTCGCCAGAGTACGTCGGTGTTTCTCTGATTATTTCGTGTTTCGTGAGCGTCTACTAGTAAGGCCATCAATCCCTTAATTATAGTGCTTGTTTTATCACGGGAGGTAGTGGCGTTCTTCCCCGCTGGCGAACCGTGGAATGATGAGATTTGCGAGGTTTCCTCAACCAGGTATCTCCCACCAACGGGGGCACCAACCTAGGTGAGGCAAGCTTTAAGTTTACAACATGTGTGGTGGAGTAGTGTTTGCGTGTGTAAGTAAGGGGTGTGTAGAAGGACAAGGAAGAGGAAAGAAATATCGTGCTCGAATTGTAGCCCGTGCGCCATTCGCCTGGTAGTGATACGAGAAACCACAAAAAACTACCAATCAATGCAACCGGAAGCTTGAATTATCCTCCAAACAGTTGCATTCCTCCTGACTCTTTAGCTAGAGCCGACTTCAACCCTCCAACCTTCCGGCGAGACATACTAGTGCCATCAATTGATTCCCTGAGCCACCCCATCTTGTGTCACAAAACGCTAGCATTGCGGTTTGCCAGGCGACAACGAACTCTCACACTCAGTATTCAACATTTTGAGTTCTATTTAATACCAAAACATAAGTAGATAAATAATATGATTATGCACCACCGTTTCCATACTTTTGCTTATTTCAATATGGGAATCTATTTTTCATGAAACCTACAAAAGATACTGAAAAAAATTGTGCAGTTTTTCCGTAATAACGAATACAATCCCATTAGTAGTCTATCAATAGGTCCGGTTGATGCCGCAATTCTCAGGCATGCATATTCTCATCTACTTTTCCACATAATTTGAATCAATTATTAAAATATTATTTTTAACACGCCGTGCGCGAAACTCGCGATTTCTCGTGCTCGAATCAACGCGAAGCGTAAGCGAAACATCTGTAGCGATTCGCAATTGCCTTTCGTCTTAATATAACGATACTTCAAACTCATGAAAGGCGAATCCTGAGACTTGTATCTTATAAGACTTCTCATTTCCAAACATTTATCGTTCAAATTTGTAGCATAAGTATTGGCATCATATTTCTAATTTTTTAACATATTTACAAATATGTAGTGGAAGGCTTCTTTGTCGAAACATATGCAATGGAAGGATTTTTTGACCAAGCATACACAGTGGAAGGACGTCGTGTCCAAGCACAGGCATACCTCTATACACAGTGGAAGTATTGTTTGTCCAAGCATACGCAGTGGAAGCACTTTTTGTCCAACCAGACGCAATGGAATCATTTTTTTGTCCAAGCACACGCAGTAGAAGAATTTTTTTCCAACCACAAGTAATGGAAGCATTTTTTGTCCAAGCACAGGCAGTGGAAGCATTTGTTGTCCAACCACGCGCAGTGAAATAATTTTGTGTCCCATCATACGCAGTGGAATGGGTTTTTCTCCCCGCAGTCCGCCTCCACCCTGGCAGTCCACCTCGATCCCGATCCAGCGCGTGGCATCTGAAGCGTCAGCTTCCATCAGTTGCCATTCCCTCCAGCCAGCCTCTTGTGTGCGTAACCGTATTGTCGTTCGGTCGACAATAGCTTCGTGAAGGAAGCAATTTAGACGCTGTTCGGCCCGTGTACCGTTTAATAGGGGGCTTCCACGTGCTTCATCAACGAACGCATGCGAGCGCGCACAGGGGGGGGGGGCGCCGTGTCTACGAGGGCGGACGCGTTACAGCCTTCAACTACCGACATCTGCCCGTGTGAAAGGGCGGCATTGAGTCCGATGAGTTCTAATTACACAGCAATATGGAGGGTGGGTTGAGAAGCAGTGGGTAGCAAGAGGACCGACAAGGCTGGAGATAGAATTTGAGCCTCGGTTAAACCAGAATTTATTGGTGGACGAAACGAGGTCTCAGCAGGTTAATCGTAGTGTTGTTAGGGTTGTTTATTGGTTGGTTATTGTTTCTGAGAGCTAAGGTCATTAGTCCAGTAAGTGTACTGCATGTTTTTATCGCTAGACGTGGCTTTGATTTTCACCAGCAGAATGGCGGAATTTGAAGCCGGTCTACACGTCTGCTGGCGGCGTTTTGCACAATCAGGTATCTTCCAACCAGCAGGCAAACGCCCCAGCCGGGGCAAGTTCTAAGCTTCCAACCTGTCTCCCGGTATGTGTGGTTTGTTTGGTTACTGCTCTGGCATTTGCCTGGTGTAGATCAGAGAAATATCGGAAAACTACCGATCAGAGCAGCCAGTCGCTAGTATTCTTCAACCACCTGTGTATGAGTGGGCATTGAGACAGAAGAGTTTTAATTACACAGCAGTATGGGGGGGTCATGGGGCAATGGGTAACGCTGGAGCTAGGATTTGATGCCGGGTTAATCCATATAGAATTGTTGGCGAACGAATCTCAGTAAGTGTTCTCGTGCTTAATTATTGTGTTGCAGGGTTAACGAAAATGGAAGTTAATGAAGACAGATATTAACAATGGTACCATGGCTTCTTATGATTTATCGTTCATTTGGAAGACATAAGGGAATAGATCAATTGAAGTTCGAAACGAAGTTTCGTTTAGATCGCAATGTCATCCAACCGTATCCCAGTTGTCCTACCAACACAGTGTCATCCAACCAAGGATTACCACAAGTAAATGAATAAAATGATGGCGAATTGTGAATACTAGTCTCTGATCTATCAGTTCCGTGCTTTTGTCTGTTTAAATTGAAATCAATTTACTGGTATTACAATACATATGTTTAATTTGTAATAGCACCATCAAGTAATAATAAAAAGACCAAATCAGCAGCTAATTCTTAGATTCCAGAGATTTTAAATTCCTAAAAGCATTATATTGCAGTCAGCCATACAGGTAAGTCAAACTCTCTAATGATTTACCAAATTACAGGAAGTTTCCTGAGACAGTGGTATATTTATTCCAAATTGATGAATAGAAAACTTTTACTAAAACGTTTACGGTGAAATAAAACTGATAAAAAAAATGTTTCGAAAACTCAATATTCTACAAACGGCAGCTACGAACTCTTGTGAAAACTGCTAGATGTTTACATCTTCCGCACAATTCCTTTGGATTTTCCAGAAAACTCAGCCTTTAAAGTTGAGACGCGCATTCAAACACTTCACGTTAATTAAGCTGCATACATAATTCATCACAAAACTTTGCAAACGACATGTAAATCATGTTTATTCTTACCTCGACTGCTTGGGGGAAAGTAATGGGGAGAGTTGCTTCTTTACAATTCATCGCGAAGAATTGTTAAGCTTCAAAAGAAAAAAGAGGGCGTAGTGTTTCCTCGAGCCAGAAGGATCCACCAGGTAGATTACCCTGTTTAGGTGAATAAAATAGTTTTGATTGCACAGACACACGAAAGATAAGTAATATCGTATATTTTACATGTACTTATGTTTCGTGTGTTCCATTGTTTTTTATTGGTAAGCTCACGATTTCTTAAATTGAGTGTCCTTATTTTGCTCTGGTATAATTAATGCTAATTATTTTAGATACAACATATGTATTTTTTCACGTGACACGCCTGTTTGCTCATTGTATGTTTGTAACTCCGTAATTTTTAGCCTCTTGTTGGGGGGGGGGGATGTTTGCTTGAAACTGTTGCAAGACCTGAGTATTAAATTACTACAAATCTACACGATCCTGTTTACACAATATACCTTCAACAGTCTAAAATTGGTCTGTCCTTAATACGTACACGTACATTGACCAAAAAAAAAACGAGTGGGTGTGTATATATGTATACTGATGATTCTTTTCGAATACTATGAATATAATCACTTCAATTTGTGGTACTCACCTAAGCATCTGTAGGGTTTCACCCACTCCGCGTGTGATCCTTTGCACTTCTTGTGGCCCAGCCTGCACCAGCCGGTGACACGCTGGAAGTGGGAGCCTTCCACGATGTTGGTGATGTCGCGTTTCGGGTACACCTGCGCCAAAACAACACACTCTCGTTAGCCACGATTCGGGTACACCTCCGGGACAAAACACACACATGAACTATGTTTCAAGTACATCTCCAGAACAATACACACACACTAACATGAACCGTGATTCGGGTATACAACCGCGACAAAACACATACATCAACTGTCATTCGGGTACATCTCTGGGACAAAACACACACATACACACACACACACACACACACAAACCGTGATTCGGGTACACCTGCGGGACAAAACACATACCCTTGAACCGTGATTTGGTTACACCTGTAGCTCATGAACACAAACTCATGTCACCTCTGGAGTTAGTCTATGTGACGATGCCTTTACTCTACGAAAGTAGCAGAGGACACTACTGATATTCCACCAGAAAAAAATGAAAATCTCTCAAAGTCCCATCAAAATGCTATTTTAATGAATATATTTCGCATTTTGGATCGACTGTCCGATTTTGCCGTCTAGCAAACGCGGTTCGCCATGCATGGCCATAGTTTAATCCCCCACACTAGGGGAGTAAGAAATACATGTGGCCAACATGTATTCCCTTCACCGTAACTACCAAACTTAACCTGCCTATCCTTCTCTTCGAAACTTGAGACGATTTTAAAGAAAATTTACAACTCTTATTTTTGCCTCGATCGGAAATGGAACCCGGGATCTCACCATGAGAAGCCAGTATGCATCCTATGAGGCATCTTAGAGGCCATGTGATTGTTAAAAATATTTTAAAAATTAGAATCTCAAATCACTTTATTCGAAAAATCGTTTTAAGGTGGAGGCCTCAATTTGTTTTTAAGCAAAAAGTAAGTTTTATTACAAAAAATTCAAATAGAGTCACTAAAAATTTAAAGCTTAGAAAAGCCTGTTTTTTATTGTGATGCAGAGATGGAGGGGTTACAGAGTTGGAAACTAATTGATTTTTATTATTTTGGATCAGAAAAATTGGTAACAGCGTTTTACTTCATTTTGTTTCAGGGCAGATTTTACCATTCAGTCAGACCCTTTTTGCGGTAAAACAAGCGTTTTCGATTACTTATGTTTTCATCCCAAGGAACTTCACATCCTCTTTTCCTGTTATTTTATGAATTAATTTAAAAATTTAAAATTACTTCTACATTTGCTAGTGGAGAATCTAAGAGAACCAACCGCCGGCACCGAACACAAAAAATATAGTGTAAGAAAGACATTAAAGAAGGGTCTATTAAGAAAAGCGCCTAAACTAAAATCTGCAGTATCTTGATACATCATGGATCCACGCAATCGCAATGATGCAAAATCGAAATAAATAAATTAATTAATTACCACAGCTCACTCAAATTTTTACAATAGAAGGGTTACAATCAGCTTTCGGATGCTTAAAGCACATATCAAACCATTCATTGAGGTTAACAACTTCTTCAATTATTCAGGCTCAGCTACCTTTGAACAATGCGAATTCCGATTGAAGCCTTCTGCAATAGTATTGGCGAAGACCTGCATTGGGGTACTTTATCGATCTTCGAATTAACCCTCTGCTAACGTCGACAGACCACAGGATGACAAATTGGGCCAATAACTCGCTCAGATTAATAGCCACGATTCCAGTAATCGGCTGTCAAAGGGCGGATTATCCGTCAATTAGCCTGCACGCGTCAACATATATCGTACTGCCATTAAGAGGTTTTTATTGTTGCATATGTGGATTAATGTAATTCCACCTTGTATGCAACACAATTAAAAACATAAAAGGACCTATCTATTGTTTCGACACCGCAATTTATGTTGTACATAGTTCATTAATCTCCAAGCACTATAGCTACAAACACTACGAATGATATTATTTTAAACTTGGATTACAGACATTTAATGTCTCTTTGAATTTGTCAATACATAATATCAAATACCTACTCTATACAAAGATTTTTAAGAGAAAAAAACCATGCTGTGGTGTCTGACGCCACTGCAGTACCTCTGACCGGGAGGTTCTAGGGTGGAAGGACTTTTGACACTAAATAGCTATGTGGATTTCAGCTGCAGTATGGAGGAAAATTCTAACGGTCGCCAGCTCTGGCCTTGGATATAACGGTCCGATAAGCTCTAACCGTTACACCAGCAATGCAGCACTTGTTAGGGCAGTGCTGCGGCATTCGTCTGGAATATATCGGAGACACCATGGAAAACTACAGATTACTGCAGCTGGGCGCTGCAATTCTCTCCAAACAGCGGCTGAATTGGCTATGTTGCTAATGTCGGGACCCGAACCCCAGGACCCCACGGTAAGATTTGCCTCTGAGACAGCGGCCATACTGGCTCTGAGCTAATCTCAGCCGAGTGCTGCTTCAAGCCCTAGAGAAACCGAGGAACGCTAAATCATATTGCGTATGACTAGGGGGCGAATTTTGATGTCCTGAAACATCGCCCAAAACGATGAATAAAATGTTCTTAATTTGTTTTTAAAATGCCCCCAAAACAAAGAAATACGACGTACCAAAATTTGATCAAAACCACTTCAGATGAACATCTGAAGTTGTTTGATACGTTCCTGATGTAATTGAGGGTTCTTCCTTCCGTTCAAGTGAACTCAGCTTACAACCTTTTGGTTTGAACGGTTCTTTACCAGGAAATCTCCGTCTTTAGTAATCCCGAAATCGGCGTAACTGGCAAAAACGTTGATAGGTTTTCTCAGCGAAGGAATGAAATAGGCTACTCAGAAATTTTATGGAGAACATTTGTTGCACTTCTTAAATATTAATTGAAGCAAGTGTCATTAAAACGATACTAAAATATACGAAATCATCTAAAATGCATTAAAAATAACGGAAAAGGTTTAATAAACGACTTATTAGTCGAAATCGATGAAAAATGGAAAAATTAGCACAAAAATGGGCCGTTTCCTTTTGTCATAACATAAAATTATTTCTATACGAAACGGTATTGTTCTAAAGTTAAAAGGCAGAAATTATCGTTCCAATAAAACCCGACCCCTACTTATAATGACGGCTTCACTTCAATTGCTTGTGATGTCAAGAGATTCCTTTGGATAAATATCACTCGTGTAACTATTGTACCTAAAGAAATGATTCTTCTTCAATGATAACCCATTGAAAATGACACAATTCCACGACAGATTTCCCTGGCAACAACTCGATGGCAACTCACATAGAACAAAACTCAGAAATGAAACACGTTCGACGACAGATATAAAGAAATCATGGCCCACGTACAAAGAAATAGAGCTCAATAGAGCATGAAAATGCTTTGTTACAGCAAATGTTTCGTACAATGCGCGGCACACAGTTACCAGAACTACGAAGCAGAAACCGCGTTTAGTTTAATGGTCTGAGCACGTAGTGACAAACGACGACAGAAGTTCGATGTTCGCAAAAGAACAAATGGGGGTCGACCGGCAAGCGGGCAGAAAAAAAAAAAGAAACATGAAAAACACCATACATCAGTCCCATCGACAGGAAGTCTTGTAATGAGAGAATGAAGACTGACAGTACTCGTGAGGGAAAACAAAATAAAATGAAAAATTCGCGAACAGAATTACTTCGGCCGAACCGTTTCAAAAATAACCTGTCGAGTTGTACCTGTTTTAACATTAGCCTGTTAAATCCAACAATTGGCTAAATATGAACACATTTCATCACAATTGACTTAACAGGTTAATTATTAACTGCTAAACATATTGTAGTTATTAACGACTACAGGCGGATAAACAGCACATAACAGACGTGTCGTTTATAAACAGCGGCGTTACCCGATAAGTATACTAAACGCCTAAAGCTCATCTTTTTTGAAAGCTCACAATAGACCCGGACTGATAAATTCTTAACGGACACCGACTGTTAAGAATGATATTCTCGTTTTGTGTGTTATTGCGTTAAGTCGATATAACAGTGCAGTATTACGAAAATGTTTGTAATACGGTGGTTTACAGTACAAATGATAAACCAATCAATCATTTGTTTAGCTATTGTCGATTGAAATCCGGGCTACATTGTGCACTTATCATTGCATTAGAAACTTCCGATTAGAATTTTCGGCGTTGTACATAAAAAATAAATTAAATGCTGAAAGGAACAGACAATGAACTTCGAGGTAATGACAGTGTACCCAAATTTTTGCGGCACTACATTAAACGAGTAGAGCAATAGAGAAAAAATATGATAATGTCGAGAGATATTGGGTCCAAACAAGCGGGGGGGGGATTTGTGGTAACTGCCACTGCGAAGAGATATTAAAATTGTATTTACTCTTGAAAAGACTAGTAATAGAATCGGAAAATATTTACCAAATAAATATTTATTAAAAGAATAACCATATTACAGTCGCTTATTAACACTTTGATACAATTATTTCTAAACCTTTAATGTTAATGAAAAAATGGGGAAGATGAGCAGATGTGAGTGAATGCCCGAAGGTTTAAATAAGAGATTTACACAAACTTTTATTTTCACAAAATTTGAAGGAAACCAGCGTATATTTAGTGAATCACATGTTTATTCGAATCCCCAATCTTTGGCGACAAGTTTGAAAATTAAAGGTGTAGATTACGACTATATTATTTAGTAGATTTGGTATTTTCAACTCTCAAGCAACTCTCTTTCAAATAGGGACGATAAATAATAATAATAATAATAATAATAATAATAATAATAATACTTTTAAACTCTCGTGTATTAAACACAAACATTATTCCCGCAAATTCTCCCAAATTTGAGAGTGATTTCGAAACTTTAATTTGTTTTTGATAAAAAAATATTACAAAATAAATGAACTGTCAAGAAACATCACAAACTTATCACGAATTATTAAATTCTAAGATACCCTATACATATTTTTATTGTAATTCATATATAAAAAGCGAAGCAATATTGTCTTTGCTTATTATCTCATTCACGATAGCCAACACGAACATTAAGAGTGTGATTTCCAAACCGTCTGACTTACGGCAATATACCATCGACCCCTTTTTCCGTTTAGGTTTCCCTTCAGTCAAC